ATACAGTGCTAATGCCACCCAACCCCTGTGCTCCTTAGAAATGGTGAGCAGCATTTATATACTTCGTCTTCACTGTAAACTGGCAAGCCACTCTCCATTCTCCAGATCCATCCCCCTGCTTCTGTGCCTTTGCTGGCTGTCAATAACTGATGCTAATGACGGCAAAATGTGATAAGAATGTAGGAATAAAGAGAATACTATGAGAAGACAGAGAGAGGCGAGGCGTGAATAATCCAAGCTTTAAAGATACAGCTCTATGTTACAGAGAGACTGATGCTCAAAGAAGTTAGTGACTTGTGAAGTTCACAGAGCTAGAGTTGTGGAACTGAAACAAGAATATAAGACTTGTGATTTCAGCTCAGAGGTCTTTTATGAGAGCACGTTGCCTCTAAGAATTTATCAATGGAGCTGCAAAAGTGCGCAGTGTTGCCGCCTCTCCGTTCTGCCCTCTCCGTGGACCAGACACACCCCAGAGCATGTCTGTACTGTTAGGCTTTGAAGTGCATCTTCTGAGTGCCCTCAGCAGATAATAGCTGTCTGCTCGGACCTCTTTTAAGCCAGTTCATAAGATGATTGGGAAAGACTGCTTCCCCTCCCTTGGACTCAGAGGGCCGCATCATCATTTTCTAACCAGTTCCTTTCCAGCATATGCGTGTCCATGCAGACCCACGGGACTCCACGTGTCTTTGCGTAACTATCCACATTAGAACAAACTTTGGAGCACATGTCCTTAATATGTGTGTGTTAATAAATTATATTCATGTAATAAGATGTATTAATATTTTTATTTTATATCTTGTGATCAAAAAATTGACACAAAAAGACATTAGATAACAATCCGTATAAGTCGAAGCTCTAATATGTTCCTTCTGATCATCAGAGGATTGTTATGTCCCCCTATCCCTCCTCCCCAAAGGAAACATGTTTAGTCTTAGAAGAATAAATCCCACATGTGGTCTCTTTTGATTTTTAGGGTCCTTTTTCTTTATACCCCTTGCTGCTAGTCTTCTTCAGATTTAAATTTCTATTGGTCTCTATACTTTTTTGTTTGTACAGAGGGAGAAAGGGAAGAGGGAGGGGAAGAGAGAGAGGAGATTGGGATTTAATTTAAGGAATTGGATCATGTGATTGTGGGAGTTGGCAAGTCTGAAATCTGCATGACAGGCTGATGGCTGGAAATTCATGCAAGAGTTGAAGCTCAAGTTTGAAGACTGGAAACTCAGGCAGAATTTTAATCTTGCACTCTGGAGGCAGAATTCCTTCTCCTTTGGGGGACCTTAGCCTTTGCTCCTAAGCCCTTCAACTGATTGGATGAGGCCCACCCACATTATGAGGGTAATCAGCTTTACTCTAAGTCTGTTGGTTTAAATGTTAATTATATCTAAAAATACCTTCACAGCAGCATCTATACTGGTGTTTGACCAAACTTCTGGGTACCATAGCTTAGCCAAGTTGACACATAAAATTAACCATCCCCATCCGTATCAGAATTTTCCAGCTGGAACTTCTGTAGTAGCCTCCTGGTTTATATTCCAGCCTCCAATATCTACTACTTCCCATCCATCTGCTATATTGTCAAAAGGACCTTTGAATGAAAGAAGATATTATGGGGGAGTTTGAGTGATTCTAGGCAGCATAAGTAATAATTTTCATTGCAATAATATATTGCTTTAGCATTTCCTAAAGTATAGTTATGATAAAATTTAAAGCTCTGTGTGGACTGACCCCTCTACCTTTCCAGCCTCACCTCGTGTCATTGAGTAATTAAGAGTAACCCACAGAGTTACTCTTAATTCTTCACGTACACTGGTAACTCTCCTGCCTCTATAGCTTTGCTGTATTGAATAGAACCAGCACTAATTAATATAAAGCAAAATATGATTATAGGAATAAAGAAGGGGCTATGGGAGAACAGAGGTTGATGTGAATAATTCAATTCATGAGATATGAGAAAACTTCATCATGGTGGTGAGGGAGGAAAGGGTGAGATAGATGGTGTTATGGGCTGAATTGTGTCCCCCACCCCCCAAATTAATATGTTGAAGTCCTAACTCCTGGTACATCAGACAGAGTCTTTACAAATGTAATTGGGTTAAAACGAGGTCATTAGTGTGGGCCCTAATCCAGTATGGCTGGTGTCCTTATAAGACGAGAAAATTTGGACACAGACTGATACAGAGGCAAGACTGTGTGAAGACAAAGGGAGAAGATGGCCGTCTGCAAGCCAAGGAGACGGGAGTCAAAAGGAAGCCTTGATCTCAGACTTCCAGCCTCCAGAACAGCGAGGAAATAAGTTTCTGTCGTTCAAGCCCCTTGGTCTGTGGAACTTTGTTCCGGCAGCCAGAGCGGACTAATACAGATGGATTGGGAAAGCTGTCAGGAGCAGAACAAGCTAAATCCGAGAGGCAGAGCAATGCAGAGTGCATTGTACCTGTGGGTCTTGTGCCTAGGTTACCACCACTAGGTTACAGCTGAAGTCCGGCCAATTTCAGAATGGACTGGAAATTTGCCTGCTACTTGAATTAACTATCCTCTAATGGTGTGAAAAGAGGGTCTCTGATGTTTTCTTTGGTCTTAAAATGAGAATAAAGTACCTTCAAGAGAAGAGGGTTTCTCAGTACCAGGACAGAGCTTTCTGTTTTAAAGCTCGGGTCACTTGTTGACCGTGGGGGAAGGAATCTCTCCTGCCCCTGAGCCGCCACGTCTCAGGTGATCACTGACGGACCCATATGGTAGAATGGAGGACAGTAGAGCTTCTCTTGCTGCTTTCATCTGTGTTATTTTGATATTATTTCTATTAGCCTTTTTAGTTTGGATTGGCTGAAATTCCAGCATTTCCTTTAATTTTTCTTTTCTTTTGTTTCTTTTTTAAAAATAGACTAATTTTTAGAGCAGTTTTAAATTTATAGAAAAATTACAAAGACAGCAGAGAAAATTCTCGTATGCCCCATAGCCAGTTTCTCCTATTGTTAATATTAACATTTTGTATTAGCATGGTACATTTGTTACAATTAATGGACCAATATTGATACATTATTGAGTCTATATTTTATTCATATTTCCTTAGTTTTTACTTAAAGCCCTGTTCCAGGATCTCACCTATGATAGCGTTTTACATTCAGTGCTCATGTTTCCCTAGGCCCCTCTTGACTGTGACATTTTCTCAGGTTTTCCTTGTTTTTGATGGCCTTGACAATTTTAGGGAATACTGGTCAGGTATTTTGTAATGTCCCTTACTGAGATTTGTCTGATGTCTTTCTTGTGACTGGATTGAATTATGGGTTATTGGGCAAAAGAGCACAGCAGCAGAGTGCCATTTTCAGCACCCAGCAAGGATACGTACTATCGACACGAAAAACTGCTGTTGATGTTGACCTTGGTCAGACAGCATTTGTTAGGTTTCTTCACTGTGAAGTCACTATTTTTAGCCCCTTTCCATACTGTGCTCTTTGAAGCAAAGTCACCATGCACAACACACATGTAAGGAAGGAGGACCCTCAATTTTTTTAAACACAAAAAAGGTGAAGCCATTTTTGAAGAGCCTGCATGAGTGGTGATGTTTTTGAATTATGAGGAGTGGGAGAAAGAAAAACCCATGCTTTTTTGGTTTATTAATGTTTTGTTTCCTCCCTAAAATGCCCCACAATGTTTCTATGAGAAGTAAGAAAAAATGTCAGTTTGAACTTTGGGCCTTCTTTGTGGGTTTAATTAAGGTAGTCAATTCTTACCTCTACTGCTATTGTTGCAGACAGTGAAGGAAAGATTAAAATTACTCTGTGTTTTATAATTAAATGAGAGGTCATAGGACACGCTTTTCTTAAAGGCAGTGCCTTGACAGTTACATTTACTGGGCAGTTACAGTCTGTGAGTTTTTCACAGCCTGACTTGGCTGAGCCTTGGCTATATTTTTTCCTAAATTCCTGCTTCTCTTAGTGGCAGAGAACTTTATTACCTCCCTCTAGTGGTCAGTTTTATAATCTCAAATTCTACTTGGACAAATTCAGCAATGGAAAAATCAGATTCATGGCAATCCTCATGATAATTTTCCTGAATATTTTAGTATAGATGATAAAAGTAAATAGTGGTTGAATTTTAGCTATGTCTCTTTGGATAATTTTAATAATTTTTAATTAGATAATTTTAAATGAGGTGATGTTTTAAGGTAGTAATTATAACTTGATTAAAAGCTTTAGTGATAAAGATAGTATTTTAGGCAGAAGGTTTATCTAGCTACCATTGTACTAAGAACCTCAATGGCCATTTGATTTTTAACGAGGGAATTGAATTTGGCTTCTTGCAAGTATTTTATCAGTGGTGTAGGAGAAAGTGCATATTCCAGATAAACTTAAAAGCTGCAAAGCTTTATGAGGCTAGGAGTGAGGAAATCCTCTGAGCATTGTTTGTCATTTCTTCACAGATAAAATTTTATCGCCAGTGCAGGAAATAGCCATCTTTTAGAGACTTATATCAGCATTCATTTTTTTACCATTGCTTTAAAAAAAGGCAGCATTTTTTACAGGGTGCTATCTCTGGATATTCTTGGAAAGTTGAAATAATTTACCGGAACTAGAGACTGGCTTGGTACATTTCCTGATGGAAATACTGGGTCACGCAGTATTTGATTATGCAGGTACTAATCCTTTGAATGAGTTCTAGTGTTTGTGCCCAGACCTGCAGTTTTGTTTTACTGAGATCCAGAGGGGACAACATTTAAGGAAAGACAACTAAATCCATGTGAAACCCATGAGTGCCCTAGATGTATTCCTCCTAATCAGGATTAAACTGAACTCGAGAGGCAGTGATCCACTAAGCATTGCTTCTGTTCAGAAATAAGAAGGAAGGAATTCACGCAGAGAACTCATATGAAGGCGTAGTCTATTTGTGTCTGTCTGTGAATATAACACCATGTAGATGTAAGTGAAGAAGTTGATGTGTCTTTGTTTTTCTGAGTAGAAGTAGTACATTAAAAATGAGTGATCTGTCTCTTGCTGCCCACCCAGCTCCATCTGATCCACTGGAACTCCACTCTGTTTGGCAGTATTGATGAGGCTGTGGGGAAGCCGCATGGAATCGCCATCATTGCTTTGTTTGTTCAGGTAAATGATCTGCTATAATTGTATTGTTTAGGGATGCTTATTTCTAAATCATTTTTGAAAATATGTTTTATCCTCTCTTAATTTTATTACTTAGAGGTGAAATTAAATACATACACAGAGAACATCAAAAATTTAAGAATAGAAAACTTGATCTTTATAGTTCATGAGTGCTCAGCCATATTCATTGGTAGAAAATAGTTCATTTATTTATTAGAAATTTTCTTCAAAGTGGCATTCAGGGTCTTTGGAGAAATGATTTAGAAAATGTCTCCTGAAAGCAGAATTCATTTTATATATGAAAAAGAATTTCAGAAAATGTTTTTAGAGCCTGGCTTACAGCAAAATCTAAGACAAATATGATCATGTAGTGGATTACTTTAGCTCTTTGTTATTGATAATTTTCACTTGAAGATGATGAAATACCTTATAGAAAATGCTGATAAAATAAGACTGGCAAAGACCTTGGCAGATATAGTCAATATAAGAGTTAGCTTTGAGCTCTGTAATAGGGAAAGGATATCATACAAATTTAGCCAAACATTCTTTCAAAGGTAAAAATTTAATTCATTTTTTAAGGGAATCCTTTAAATTTTGTCTTGTTATCCACTTGACATAATAAAAGATTTAGAGGTAAAAGAGACCCTGGAAATTTTAGCCTCTTCCAACCCCCTCCACCTTACAGAATGGAAACCAAGGCCCACAGAGGTCAAGAAATTGTACTCACATAGCAATTTATCTCTCAGCAATTTAATGCTTCCAGTTGGTACCAGAAACCAGAGTTTCAGCTTTGCATGGTTCTAGGCTGCCTTTTGGATGACCTAGGATTAGAACAGTAATGTTAGCACAGCGTTCTTCAGTAACTTAATTTTCCAAAGAGAATTGAGTAAGGGGCTCTTTTAAACTTGCTTTTTGTGGCATATATATCCAGAATGTTATTGATTGGAACTTTTTTTTTATTTTTAATTAAAAAATTTTTTTTCAATTTCAGCATATTATGGGGGTACAAATGTTTAAGTTAGGTATGTTGCCCTTGCCTCCCCACTCCAATAGTTCATTTATTTATTAGAAATTTTCTTCAAAGTGGCATTCAGGGTCTTTGGAGAAATGATTTAGAAAATGTCTCCTGAAAGCAGAATTCATTTTATATATGAAAAAGAATTTCAGAAAATGTTTTTAGAGCCTGGCTTACAGCAAAATCTAAGACAAATATGATCATGTAGTGGATTACTTTAGCTCTTTGTTATTGATAATTTTCACTTGAAGATCATGAAGTACCTTATAGAAAATGCTGATAAAATAAGACTGGCAAAGACCTTGGCAGATATAGTCAGTATAAGAGTTAGCTTTGAGCTCTGTAATAGGGAAAGGATATCATACAAATTTAGCCAAACATTCTTTCAAAGGTAAAAATTTAATTCATTTTTTAAGGGAATCCTTTAAATTTTGTCTTGTTATCCACTTGACATAATAAAAGATTTAGAGGTAAAAGAGACCCTGGAAATTTTAGCCTCTTCCAACCCCCTCCACCTTACAGAAT